CCCAATACTGCAGAATCAGAAACAGCTACTGATGCTAACCGCCCATGGAACTCCATCGCCAGCTGTCCACTGCCTGACCCCCAGTGTACCTTCCTGGATCTTCTACCGCTCACCTCCCCGCGCAGGTCTCTGGCCAGTGAACCCCTCAGGGCAAGGGTCGCATCCGGCTCAGTCAGGACAGAGAAGCCAGCTCCCAGGGCAGTGCTGACGCAGAGATTTTTAGCAATATTTTTTTCAAGGGTTTTCCAAAATCGAGTTTGCTTTTCAGGGGTCTAGTTTCTTTTAGCAATTCCAATTCTGTCTTTTCTCTCTGTAACTGGTTTAGAGCGATGGGGGATGTGTGGGTGTATAAGAATACATTTAATCTTTTAAGTTGTGAATAACAAAAGTTTTCAAAATAAAAATTTTATTAATTGTATTACAGTATGAAACATGAAGTGTTCCTCTGATCCTGAAAAATGCCGGAGTAGAAACCTGTCTCTCTGACAAGTAAAAAGGCGTCTCTTTGACACTCGTCTCTTTAAATAGTGCAGGTTTCTTAAAAAATTCTGACGTTTATAAGTTAGAGGCTAATTTCCACGTAGGCTTTGTCTTTAAAAAAAAAAAGATTTGTGTCTAGCCATTTTCTGCTAAAGAATTTCAATTTTTTAAAAAGTCTCTGACAAAATCATAATTCCTTGGGGGGACGTGATCAATACTCATGAGCTCTTCCGCCGCGTGAGCTCCTGGTGCTGTGGGCTCAGTTCGGGCCGTCCGGGAAGGCGGGCTTTCCTGTAGCCCTAAGTGGAGGACGCTGCTTTCTCGCTGCGGAAGGTGTTCAGTTGCTCCTGCATTGGCCCATCCTCATTTACGGGGCGCCTGCGTCACCCCAGACGGTGTTCTACAGGTAGAGCAGCGGGGTCCCAGCCTCTGTGTCAGTCTGCGGCTCGTCAGGAGAGAGAAGCGGCACAGGATAAAATATTTCATTAGGGTAAAATTTTATGAGGGTGTTATTCGGAGACCCTGGAGAATGGGAATTCTGAAGCTCTGTGTATGAAAAGGCGTTGAGAGTGAAGGTTCTCGATGAGCCTGCCGGGGTCGGTGTCCTGGCGTTGCCCGCTGCTCACTGCATGATCTTGGGCAAATGGTCCGCCTTTGCCTCCCTGTCCTGATCCGTCAATGGGAATATTGGTGATAGGTCTGAGTGTGTCAAGTCTTCAGCATAGTGCCCCGCACCTTGTAGGCGCTCTATCAACGTTTGCTACTGTTATCATCGTCGATGACATTGGACCCGGTGGCCTGGGACTGGAGGTTCCATGTGCCTCTGTTCCGTGTCTCGGTTCACCATTGCCCGCCCTCTTTGTCAGGTTTGTCCTGCTGATTGCACCAGGCCTGGTCCTGTCCCTCCACACACCTGATTTTATAACTGCAGTGTGTGGGAAATCAGTGTTCCCGGTAACTACTTCACATTAGTTGGCACTGTGGGGCTGTATCAGTTCAGCACGTCACGTCTACTTTGTGGAATCATAGGCGCAGTTGGGTAGTCCCGTGTCATTGGACAAAGATGGTAGGGAATGTTTTTTCCCTTAAACAGACAGCAGGTCCTGTGTGCCGCACCCCTCCAGGTGAACCACGCTGGCCTCGCGTGCTCTGGGGCGGGGATCCTGCCTCAGGGACTTCGGTGGGACGCTCTACTCCCCAGTCCCCAGGTGCTGGCTCCCTCGTCTTCGTCGTCGTCTTTGTCGGGTCTCAGTTCAGAAGGAACCGCGTTGGAGTTGGTCCCTAAGCCAGCCCCTCTCTCACCCCTGATCCTCGGCCTCTTCTTTAGGACCCTTCAGAGAACGTATCTCTGACTGATGTCATCCATAGTTTACTTGCTTATCGTTTGCCTCCGCAACCAATGCGAAAGCTCTGTGAACACAGGGCATTGTTCTGTCCAGCAGGCGTCCTGTGGCCCCAGGAACATGTGTGACAGCCCCCAGTAGCAGGCACTCAAGATTTTTGTTGACTTAAGCAAGTAAATGATCATTTTTCCCATTGCATGGCTAGCTAATGTGCTCTAAAGCTTTAAAAGGTGATCTTTAGGTATATTTGGAAGGTGGGTCTGAATTATAGTCAAGCTAAAATGTTCTGTTAAAAATCTCTCATCTTATTAAGAATATAAAATGCGAGAACCGATAGGCTCTAAGGGTAAAAAGCGTTCGGCCTCTCAGACAAGGCCCTTACAGATCGCCCAGCGCATGCCCCACCTCAGGCGCCAGGAAACGGACACCTGGCAGTGTTAGCAGAGGGGCTGGCGCCGCACCACGACTTGGTGGCAGAGCCCTGAGCTTGTCCACGTCAACTTCGTTGTTACTGCCTTTGCACCTTGTGTACGACTGTGTTTAGTTTCCTGGTAAATTTATTTTTTCTTATTTGTAATTTTTTACTTATCACTGGACTATTTCCACTACAAAGTACTGGCTATAGTAGTATTTCCTCTGTTTCGATCACACAGTGACCGCACGCCGCTAGGTGGGTGCGGGGGATCTTCTTTGGTGTCCTCCTTCCACCTTGGGAAATTGCCACGTGGAAGCCTGTCCGGTAACAGGCTGAATGTTCGCAAAAGCAAGTGCCTTGTCGTTCCGCAGAAATGGACACTTCCGCGGTGTCGCTTTGACTAGTTCACTCCGGCTGCGCGGGCCGGAGACCGCTTGGGGAGGGCAGTCTTGTTACCTCTCCCTGCCACGCACCCTTAGATCCAAAAATTGGCCAATCGTGAACTTCCCCCTTTCCTGGCAGACTTGATGAGCAGGAGTAGCCCTCGGCCACGTGCCAACTGTGGCGGCGTCCTCACAAAGCCGCCCTCAGGGAACCCGCCGGGTTCAGGAGTTCACGCTGTGCCGTGGCATGAGTGACCTGTGACCCTCACGGAGGACAGCCCCTGAGGGCAGAGGGAGAGTCTGCCCAGCAGCTGACAGAGGACTTTGGACTCTAGGTGTGTCCAGTAAAGTAACTTGCTCTCATTACGGTTCTTCATCTTGAGAAAGTATTTTCCTCTCTTACACTGTTAATTATTTTTCTCTGCCATAGAAAAGGAACACTTTCCACTTTTTTCAAGGGTTAAAAGGAGTAGTTTTAAAAGTCACCAGTGTAGCAAAGGAGCTGCCTTTCAACGCTGCCCATGTGCCTTCAGCCCATCGGGTTGAAGGGGTGGACCGAGGGCTCGCAGGTTGAGTGACACCTCGTTTATAGCCGGGACGGCCCCAGAGCCCTCGGAGAATGTGACTCGGGCTGCGCCTGCCCCTCTGGTTCAGCCGTGGGAGATAAACATGTCCCTGGCCTGTAATGGTTAAGTCGAAGCATTTGAATGCCTCCTAGTGGTATGTGGTATGTCCTAATTAAGGGACTTTAAAAACAATATTCGCTGGAACAATACTGCAGACGAACCGTTAAAGCTTGTAGGTGTGAAGTGCTAAAACCCTGTACCGATAGCATTCTAAATGGAGTCAAAATATATTGTTTTTCACATATAATTGATTAAAAATCTGAGCGGAAAATATATATAATAGACATAATAATAAAGATCAATACAATTTAAATAAAAATTTTTATGTCTTTGGTCCAGATTAGACTGTTTTTTTTAAAACTCCGTCCAGCTCTTTCGTGCTTTCATATGGAAAACATTGCTGTTAAGATTGAACTGAGAGGGAGGGGCGTCGATGGGGACAGAGGGAGACGTGACTTGGGGCGGTGAACACACAGCACGGGGTACAGATGATGTGTTACAGAATTTACTCCTGAAACCTATGTGATTTCATTAACCAATGTCACCCCAATAAAGTCAATAGCAAAAAGGATTGAATTGCTTTGTATACATTTATGTTTTACTTTTTTTGATTACTTATTTTAATTTCTTATGTAATTTTATAGAATAAAATTTTAATTTCTTATATAATAAAATAGAAGTCATGGTTTCTGGAAAGTCTGTGGTTCATTTTCAGATGGTTTTATTTTTGAATTCTGATTTTCTAGTTGAATAAAATGATTTAATTAGTAACCTTGAAATGCAGACTACAGCAAAACTTTAAAGTGATGATGAATGCTGATTTAATTGTTGCTTTAAACACTAAAATAGGATTTTACACTTACAGAAATGTAATTTAAAACGTATGGAAAATCATATGGAAAGAATTCCGATGCAGGTCACGAGGAGGGAAGAAAGAAAAAAGTGATAGCTTTTTTGCGAGGCATTAAAAATATTTAATTAACCGCGTGCCCAAAGCAGAACAATTAAAATGGCAGTCACCTTTAAAATAGCAACAACGTCACTGCAGCTGTTGTGATCTGACGCGAGGCAACAGAACGTTAATCTGAAATGAGCAGTTCAGCTGTGGAATTATGATATCGTCGGCTTCCTGCGGGACAGCTGTCAGGCTTGGGCGGCTTGCTGGTCGATGGCGACATCCTCTGTGTCAGTGAGCAGGGTCTCCTGATACCGCAGCCCGCCGTCCGCACGCGGCTGGGGCGCCAACTGTCGCGCGTCCCCGTCCCCTGGCACCCTGGCCGCGCGCAGGCTCTCCTGTCGGACTCGCGTTTCATTCTTTGGCAATTTGCCCTAATGATGTCTCTCGGGAGCGCTTGCCTCTCCTCTTCTCCATATTTAATCGTCGTGTGTTAATCTCAGCGAGGCCCGGGCCGGGCTGCACAAAGGGTAATTTCCTACCGTTTCCCACGGCGCGCGCCGGATTTTTCAGCTTCAGTTTTCTTTACGGCCTGTGTTTTGACTCCAGACACTGTATTTGCAGATCACTCTCCACCTGAGATGCCCAAGAAACTCCTTGAACAGTGTACGCACCGTATTTTTAAGGAAGGCCTCCGAAACATCAGACTTGTTGCACGTGGCCTTCGTAAAGGCCGTGGGAGGGAGGCCCCCAGTCGCATTGGTTTATGGTTGTCGTTGGCCTTTGCCAACCTGAGCGAGCCGTGGTGTGGCGAGGGCCGGCGGCCACTTACTGTTGTTGTTCTTTTACCCCTTGCAGTTAACTGCCTGTCTGCATGGATCGGCCGCTCTGCTCTTCCCCATGTTCTGGCAACACATCTACATCCCTGTTCTGCCGCCGCACCTGCTGGACTACTGCTGGTAAGCACCGTGCGCCCCGTCCCCGCCCCGGCCCGGGGCCCTGGCCACGCGGGAGGAGGTCCATTTGTTGTAGGTTAGGCCAGCTCGCTGGGGGCACGTGTGCCCGAAATCTCCGGGACGTGCCTTGGAGGTCAGCAACCAACATTCAAACGTGCTTTGACAAAGGGACAGAGTAGTTCTTTCCAGAGGCAGGCTCGGTAACCAGAGCTCTTCAGATTTCGTGAGTTCCTTCGGCAGCCGCTTGGATAACTAAATGCGTTAGCAGAGACAAGCCCCATCTTAGTTGTGGTTAGGAAGGTTGGACGGCAGAGGCAGCGTCACCTGGAGGAGCCGGTGCCTCAGGGGCCAGCACCTGCCCGCAGAGCCCGAGGGAAGATAGGTGGGCTCCCCTGGGCCCCTCCCTCAGCAGCTCCCCCAGCATCCCCCCGCCCCCGCGAAGGGGCTGCCTCCCACGCGGGGACTCCCTGACTGGCTGGTTTGAATCAAAGCCTCAGCCTCCAGCCGCCTACAAAGCGACACTGAAAAGCCCTGGGAGGAACTCTGGAAAGCGTCCTGGCGTTAGAAGTAGCTCCCAACCCAGGCTCGGCTCCAGCTCCAGAACCACCCGCTTTCTTCCCTGGACTGGCCGAGGACCGAGGGTGGCGCCGGGAGGGCCGGCTCCCGGACAGCAGCCGAGCGCCTCGCCGGGCCTGAGGGCCAGACGCCCTCTCGGCCGCGCTGCCCTCCCCTGCGGGTGGAGCTCAGCGCCCCAGAAGGCCCGCGAGCCTCCCCCTAGCCCACGCAACTGTGCGCACTCACAGACCCACCCACAGAAGGACATGATTGCATGCCCACGGAAGGGCATCCTTGTGACCATAATGTGTTTTTTTTTGATATCACAACTGATGTTATGAAAAAAACCAAAACTCTTTTAGAATCAAAGTATTTAACTTTCTTATTTCGTGGAAAGCAGATCACGCAAAGCAGTTAAGGACTAAACAGATTTAAGTTCACACCTAGAGGGTTTTTTTTTATTGACTTTTTATGACTAGCCCTCTTTGGATCACGTGACTGTAATGGCGGAATGTGCGCTTGGCCCCGGGTTGGCGGTCTCACTTTCCGGGGTGTGTGCACAGTTTGGTGACACAGCTTGGGACCGTGTTGGTCCTGAGGACACAGTGAAGTGGCGTCCTGGGACCCAGCCCCCCGTGCCCAGCCCTGAGTCTTGGGAAGGAGAGCGTTTGTGAGGAGGCCGTGGGGTTGCAATGTGATTAGGCTGTGACATGCCAGACACACAAGTCCGGGAGCAGAGCTCGGTCTCCGCGCGGGCCCGTTGGTTTCCATTTTCGAATGTTTTTCCTCTGACCAGCAAACCTGGAATATTAGCATCCTCGAAGGCAGGAACTTCAGCTTCTTCACTTCAACATAGACAATAGGTTTCGCTCCTAGCATTCAGCCATTAAAACTCATTCGTTTGAAATAATTTTCTATAAAAGTATTTGAAAACATATTGACACATGATTTTAAAAAATATATGTCAAAACCTAACCCTTCTAATTGTGAGGTTTAGAATTATGTTTTATCACATATAATGTTAGTGCCATTTTAATTTTTCTGTTAAAATGTTTTGACTTCTTAGGAGGTCGCATTCCTTTAAGTTCCATTAAGACTTTCCAAAATACTGTTATTTAGAAAGTAGTCTATGGCGTAAATAGTTCTGTGCTGATGCTTCCCAGAGACGCCATCCTGATACTTTCTGAGCCTGCCATCAAACCCTCTTCCTGCTGCTTCCACCACAGGAAGGAAGCTGGTTTCATAGTTCAGTCTCGGAAACTTTCTTACTGGTTTCTAGTAAGTTTCCCTGCAACAGCCGTGAGGACAAGTTCTGGCAGCGCCCACGCTGGCCACTTCCCTGGTCCAGGGGGCACAGAGGTGGCAATCGCAGCCCCCCGAACCTCGTGTCACAACGAGGGGCTCAGCTTCTACCAGCAGGACCGGGCAGGAGAATGTGCACACACCCAGATATTTTAGAAATAGACATCTAAGACCCCAGCTCTCTGCCATTGTTAGAAAATTCCATGGGCTAGATTATTTTCTGGAAAACGGCTTTCTTCTCTTTGTTTGCCTCCTTGCAAATGATTCTAGTCACACTGACCTGTATGCAGACGGGAGAAGAATATTAGAGATCATCCCCTCTGTTCCACGGCTTTCAAATCAAGACGTTTTTAGATTCCGCTTTGGAAATAGTGCCAGGAAGGCCGGATAGCAGTAGGTGCATGTTTGCCCACTCTCTCGGGTGACTGGGGCCTTCCAAACCCCAGGCAGCCCCAGCTCCTGGAAGGGGTTTGGGGTTTGCTCTTGGTGTCTCTGACGGCAGAGATGGTGAGGGCCAGGGGGCCCACGTGACCGTGGGCGAATGTCACACCGGGGTCCGCGGGCGCAGGCATTGACGGCGGGCCGGCCCCTGTGTTCCTTCGCGCATCCCCTCGGACGTCAGACATTCAGGGAACCCATTTGCCAGGCCGCGGGTAGGGAATGTAATGGAGAAGACTTGGTTTCCACCCTGGTGGGGCTCGCAGATGAGAGGGAATTTACACGCACAGCAGCACATGCGCACGCGTGCAGGGCACATGCGTGAGGTTCATCTCAGAGGCATACAAGGGGAATGTGGCTGAGGACACGTCGGACAGAGCGGCCCACTTCACCTGCTAGGATGGGGGAGGCTCCTGGGCCCACGGGACACGGCCCGCATTTCTCACGTAAGCTACCGGTAGGAGAGGAAGCGGGGAATCGCCATTTAACGGGTTTCAGTTGCACAAAATGAGCACATTCTCAAGATCTGCTGAACAACACCGTATCCATGTGGTATCGTGTGCTTACCTTGTGAAGAGGGCGCCTCTCGTGCCAGGCGGCCAGTCTGCGACGTGGGCGGGCAGTCTTCCCTCTGAGCCCTTCCACCCCGGGCGCGGCGTGACTTCAGCACCTCGGAGATTATAACTGTTCTTCCTGCTTCGGGAATGGCCGGTTATAACTGAGGCTGAGTATCTGGTTCTGCTCTCCACAAAGGGTGCGCTAGCTTCTAAGAGAGTGGGTCCGAAAAACACTGATGGGACACCATGTTGTTGTGGCGACGCTGTGTTAATAGACTGCCAGCACAGTCTGCCCCACGCGTGGCCTCTGTGAGGAAACCTCACAGGAAGAGAAGGGGCTGTTGCAGAGTGGCTTTTCTTGAATGAAGATTAATTGCCGAAAGAAGGAGCAGTCATAACGCAGCCTTCTGTGTCCTCTCTTTGCTAAATAACTTCATCGACAGAAAGACGCAGCGCAGGCTTGCACGTGGCCAGCAAAACCTCAGCGTTGCAGAGATCTCGTCAGGGCCGCGTCTGGTGAGGGGATTTCAGCTGGGGTTCAGACCTGTTCATGAGATTTGGCCGATTTAGTGTTAGAATGTATTCAGCTCACTTTTCACGAGAAAGAAACAGCTATTCAACAAAATCTATATTCTGCAAAACATCATAATTATTTTAGGAAATGGTGTTCCAGATTAATAATGTCTGCATTTCTGACATCTGTATGTTTTGATTTTGTTACAAATTACTGAGATAAAAACACCTAGAGATACCGGATGATCCCATAGAAAATGTTTCAAGTTACTTTATTTTCAGGTTCAAAGAGGCACTTGTCACTGAGTTTTTATACTAGTTTAATAATTTCTATAAATTTATTATTTATATTTCAAATGATAACTAGGAAATGTTATCTTAGACGTAATCCATAGGACTTGAGCATTTTTGGCTTCGAGCTTTTGATGTCTGATCCACTCAGTGGTCTCCAACATCTATAAAATGGATGTATTAATAATTATTTTTAAAAGGCTTACATATTTTTATTAGCACTCTCTTTTTTACAACATGCTTTGACATTTGAGGTGCCACGGCTCTCTGTATTAGAGATCTCGTGGATGGGGTCACCTAACCGAGCCCACAGGAAGGTTGAAGAGCAACTTCAATAATGTTGTACGGCTTTCGATGCGGCAAGGGCCGGATGTATTCTAAGATCTTGCCGTTGCCTACCCTGCTTTGTGAAAGTTGCCCGAACCCACTCACGGTAGACATGTAATTAGTGACATATATTTTATGTTCTTCTTCGGAGTCCCCGAAGAATCCCAGAGCTGAGAATGTGAACCCCGGACTTCACCGGCCTTCCCTTAGTTAAGCGGAAGTGGAACTGTCCACATTTATTTGTCCTGCTTCCTTTTGGAGGCAGCAAATCTATTAGGTCTTAAGGATGTCCAGGTGTAGAAGCAGTTCTCAACTTCCAGGACAGTGAAGTACCCAGAACACCAGGTGTGTCACAATAAAATAGGAGGGGCAGTTCTATCAAAGACAAGCACTCCTGGGCTTAGGATCTAGCGCGTGAGGAGTGGGGGGCACGCTGATGAGTAAACAAGAGCCTCAGCCGTCTAACTTTTCGGGAATGCTGGGTATTGACATGAGTGGTTAGCCATCCTCTAGTGCCTGGAGCTGCCTGCAGTTCCTTTGAAACGGGATCCATCGAGGAGCCCGCGAGCGTTGCCTGTCCCGTGCTTCCCGGCCAGCAGACTGGCAGGGCAGCACAGCTCTGCTCCCCGCGGGCAGTGAGGTTGGAGCGCGGACCCGTCCCTCGGGGAGGAGCTGCCGGCTTTTGTGAGCAGGGGTCTGCCTTCCATATAACACCAAGCTGTGGACCAAAGGAAACGTTTTGAAGGTTTCATTTTTAAATAGCTATTGATTTGCATATTTTTATCACCTTTGTAGACGTCTGTCTCCCCTCGTGTTTTCTTGTTAAATAGGATTTTAATTTTGGAACGTCAAGGTGAATGATTTCCTTCTGTATTTAATGAGATGTGTTTTTGAAATTACTAGGAAGTCTGATTTTATGTGTCCCAGAAGTCATTGAATGACCGTGTTGTCCGCCAGCGTGTGAGACCCGCGGGGGAGGACATTCTGCCTCTGTCGTCTGTTCTTGGGCCCGAACCCCCGACCAGGGCGCCTGGTGCTCCAGGGGGTTAGGGTTGACTTAAGCAGTTTTAGTCTTAAAGCTGTTTGAATATTTTTTAATTTATTAAAATTATTTTATTAATAAAAGTCAACGCAGGATAAGTGTGAATGTATAAAATGTGAACTAAAAGACGAGGCCCGGGAGTGGACAGCACAGAAACGGAGCGGCGGCGGCGGGGAGGGGCGCGGCGCCCGGGACGGCGCCCGGCACAGGGCCGGGGCGCGAGCCTCGGTGCTGCTCCTCCGGCGCCGAGGTCACCGGGGGGAGGTCGGCAACAATGGCAGGTTAGGAGCGCCCCAGAGATGGGAATCTAACTGAATAAAAAAAGGTGTGCAAAGGAAATGGGAATAAATTTGATGGTTATTAAGGATGAGAAGGTAACATTCAGCATTTCCTAAACTTATGTGATAGTAGCCTTTTTCTCTGAAAATCATTTTCATACGTCACTTTTTGGGAAATACTGCATGAAGTCATTAGTTAGCTGATGGTTAAATGCATGGTCTGCTGTTTGGAATAATGTTCAATATCTGGTATGAGGTATATAGAAAAGTTCAACTCAGGTTATGGCCTAGATCCTAATATTCTTAATCATTAAAGTTTTCTGAGGCATTATATCTCGATTTAATTATAAATGATTTTGTGATTTTTGTGTAAATCCACCTTAACTTGAATCTCAGATCAAATTTGAATTTTACATGTAGAATAATTTAAAATACCTGTAATGTACTATGTTAGAACTGTGCATTTAATACCTTTAATTTGCCAGGCATGCAGAATTATGTACATTGCCGTTTCAGTTCTCATGAGCCGTGTGAATGCATGTGTGTTTTTTTTTAATGTAGTGCTCCGATGCCCTACCTGATTGGGATACATTCCAGCCTCATGGAGGTGAGTGCCTTTCCGGTAGGTGACAGCAGCAGATTCCTCCACGAGACAACAGTTGAAGCAGCTGGTGCTTTGAAGGACTGTCAGTTGCCTCGTGCGAAGCAGTGGCTAGTTTTCTATGAGAACACCTATGCGGTCATTTTTAAAACAGTGACCTTGAAATGACTTCATTTTAATTTGTATACTAAATGGTCATCTTCAATGGCATAAGACCTGTGAAAATAGATTCTGTTTGGTAGAAATCATACGGTAAGTTTGAAATTCTGAAAACTTTAGTTCTTAACGAACCACTTCCTTTATGGTGCTTGGAATTTTTGTATACACAGGACAGTCAGAACTTACGTAATGAGGAGTTGTAAAAGTAGGAGAACCTACTTTGCAAACTTCATTTTGATTCAGCTTATCAGGGTGTTTCTAAAGAGGTGGTTTTGATACACTAACCATGAAATGTTTAATTGGAATATAGCTTTATATTATTTTTAATTTTCAGTCTCCTTGGGAAGTAGAAATGTAGCGATTTTTTTTGCACTGTCATCTGCTCATTCCACGTTGATTTATGCCGCTTGAGTCATCACTCTAGGGACCCACCATGCACATGAACCACCCTGTGCTTGAAATCAGTGACATTTCCAGAGAGGACTTCGTGTAAGATTAGCACGTAAAGCCGTGCCCAGAGGACTCGGATCAGAACACGGTAGCATTATGCTGGTTGATTTCAGTTTTGTTCACATTATTATTATTATTATTATTATTATTTTGCCGGTTGTGCCTTTTGAACCTTCCGCCAATTTCTAACCTGAGTTCGGTTTGGTTTCCTTACCGGTTGTTGTCACGGTTCACCATCCGTGTACACAGGGCCACACCTTTGTTGAGCAAGGGAGGCCCTAGGGCAACATTTTTTGTTTGTACCACCTTTAATAAAGAATGCATTTTAATGAGTTTCCTTCAGAGGTTTAATTTATTTTTGATACTGAAGCCCGGGCTGGATAACATGACTCTTTATGTTTTGTTATTTTTGGAGAACTTGTTCTCACACGCCACGGCAGCAGTGAAGGGACAGGGTGCATGAGGAGCTGCATGAACGAGCAGTTATTAATCTGTTACCGGTTTGTAGGATACATGCCTGGCGTTAGACAGGTCAGTGGCGTGACTTGTGCATAATCTAACCGTGCTTTGTTGGTATGGTTTGAAAAAGTCATCCAGTTTGATTTTGGTGTTAGTGTACGTCTTTTTTTACATAACGTATCTAATAGAATATGCAGTTTTTACAATATATTTACACAGATGAAACATATTTGAAGTTGTTGATTGTACCTGTGTATTGGTTTTTTTTGCATAATTATTCTATATCAACTTTTAAAACAAATGATTCAGCTTTCCAAAGTGCTGTAGGAAAGGGGTACATGCTTTACATATTCAGTTAAATTGATCACACACTTATTGGATACCTACAGAAAAAAATAGCACTTTTTTACAGGAGCAGTTTAAGAATGATTCTCTCCTTAAAGCGCTGTCTTGGAGAAGTGGCCTGTTCTAACTTTAAATTGGCCCCGATCAGTAAAGGAGGGTGTTCCGAGCCGTGGACGGACCGGCCGGGACTCCGGTGCCGCGTGCACTCTGGATTTATCGGGCCGTCTGAATGGTCAACTGCACTCCGTCTGTGGGGTTTAACGCTGAGTGAGGAAGTGCAACAGGAACTTCGGGAACGCCTTTAAACGAGGCGGGTGTCATTTGGCAACTTTCTCCTTAACCTACTCGGAGAGATACTCACGCTGCAATTCCATTCTTCTCCAGTCGTTAGTACGCAGATTTTTTTCCACTAAAATTTTGATCTCTGTGCTTTTTAAACTTTATATAAGTGATATTACAATTAAAATGTAGATATATCTATTTACATATTTCATATGTGCAACTGAAATAGTTTTTTACATTTTGTTTGGCCGCAATTACAACTCACTTTTTTTAAAGGAAGAATCAAATATTGTCTTATTTCTTGTCGGGCAAGATAGTTTTAAGACTTCTAACTGAACATAATTGTTCAAAGACGTGAAATGAATGTCCTTCAAAATCTTTCAATTATTTTTATGTAATCATAAGTAAAAGATGGTGAGCAATCGCTTTTTAAAACGTAAGTCTGCTCCCAAAATCCAGGATGAGGACATCTCGCCGTCCCCGCAGGCGACTCTGGAGGGGCGAGCTCGCAGCTGAGGGAGGCCCCCCGTGCCGGGCGCATGGTCGTGGAGGCGGCAGGCGGCAGGCGGCACGGAGAGCGTTAGTGTGCGAAGGCCCCGTCGAGCGCGGCCCCTTCACCAGAGCACGCGCTGGCCGCCTGTCACTGTCCTGCGCGGACGCCCAGGGTGCACCCTGTGGCCCCCGATCCTGGCGGGGTGCCCTGCAGAGGACGGGAGTCACGCCTACCACCTCCAGCACCGTCCTGCTGGTCTTCCCAGAACTCTCCCCCTCTGTCCTCATAGCATGTTCTGCTTTTTGAAGAAAAAGGAAAATTAGGTTTTTACATTTTCTCACTCTTTTTCCAGCTATACAAGAATGAATTTTATGATGTGGAATTATGAGAGAGGCTGGTGCCATTTTACATGCTGTATGACCATCCACTTCTGTTTAGCAAAAACAGTAGCTAAACCCTAGTTTGGAGGGAAAACATAGATAAAATATTGACTGTACTCCAACTTAAAAAAAAAGAAATTATAGTATTTTTTTAAAATATGAAATTTTTCTCATTTTAGGGGGTCTCAGTGTATTGATTTCTTAAAATGAATACATTTTCCATTCTTATTGGGTGGTCCCTTGAATAAAATTTAATATCCAGCTATTATCAGGTCTTTTCAAACTAAGAGCAGCTTTGAAAGAGTATACATTGCATATTAACAGTGATTTCCTTTATTCAGAGTTTATTATTAGTGTTGTCACAAAGCATTTTGGGGTCACATGGCCATTATTCTAGGCTATTTTATTTAAAAAAATACATCAGGTTTATGGATTAATTTTACAGTTTCTGTGAAAAGGACAACTTCAAATTGAAGATGGAAATCAAAATTGTGACATAGTTTTTCACATAAATGCCATTAATATAAATATTATTTGCTTATAAAGTTGGTTATTTTTGTAGTTATGCTGTAATTTATAGATAAACTACATATTTGTGTGTGTAAACCTTTTTTACATATATGTCCACACATGGAAAGGAAAGGAAATGAGTTTATTTATAAATGTTAATTTCTTAAAAAGGGCCATGTTTTTAGTCTGTCTTTAGAATTTGTATAATGTCTTTTACAAGATGGATTTTTAGAATCATGCAAATCCATATTCCACATAGACATTATGGCTTTCGTAACACTAAAGACTACCACTTCCCCAGCAAATCTGAAATTCTACCTAATATGCACAGATTTAAAATTCTCAATGAATCAGAGAAATTTTAGTCTTGCCCAACTTAAAACAAAAAAAATTGTTTTGGTCAATTTAAAATTTAAGGTATTTAATAATTTCCAAAATAGCTATTATTCTAGAATGTCACTCTAAAAAATGTCATGCAGAAATTAATTTCCCTATTGTTTGTTGATCGATATACAGTTATGGAATTCTGAGTTAATGGGTATATTTCATTAATGAGCACCTTATCTGCATTAGGGAATACTACTTACTATCATTTAAGTAAAACTATTGGAAGTGTATAATTTAAGTATACATATCAGGGTAAATAATAAACACAAACTGTCGATATTTTCTTTGTATGAAAAATCTGATGAAATCCTAGTTTACTATGATTTGTCCACATGTTGAAATAATTTGACCAGTCAACCAGGCTGCCAAATAAAACAGAGAAGTCCAACAGTTAGTCTGATAGGCTATTGAACTGGATCTTTTCTGTTGGAATTCCGGTGCCGAGTATCGCTGGCAGTGAACCGCACACGGCCGCCCTCTCTGCCATTCTTTCCTTATTTGACTTTCAGTCATCAGCACAAACTTACACACGTGGAAATGGAGATACAGAGAAAATACTGATTACTTGAAACTTCAGTCGGTTTCTGTTAGATCTGTATTATGGTTTATGCTAAAAATAGGTACAGAACTGGACACAGGTTCCTTTACATAGGATTGAAAGTCAGGCGATCAAATTGAAAGAACCTAAGTTTTTACAGCTCACCATAGCCATGCCTATTTTCTAAGCCTTTGTTGTAACGTCTCTGTGGTAGTTAAATTATACGCAGTATCAAATTATGTGCAGGATCTCCAACCTAAAACAGTATTTGGATGAGCAAACATTTTATTTTGAGCATTTTTACCCAATCTTTTTGAATGTTTATGTACAAACGATTTTTCTCACCAAGTTGTTTACTTTCTTTTATAATGTAGGATTTTCTTATTTTTTTCCCTCTCCCAAAACAAATGCATTAAGATAATTTTCTCTACTTTTCTAAGCTCGTTAGATTTTGGACAATATACTAAGATGTTTGTTTATAATTGTGTTTTTTAAACAGAGAGTGAAAAATAAGTCATTGGAGGATGTGGTTATGTTAAATGTTGACACAAACACTTTAGAATCACCATTTAATGACTTGAACGACCTACCGAGTGATGTGGTAAGTCTGAGGGGTATTTTTATGGTGAACATAGATACATGTATGTGTTTTCTCCTGGACCCTTCAATTGCCAACAGCGATTTTGCCCACTTTTATCGACTCTAAAATAAAGGGGGTGAATGTGTGCGAGGAGTCTCGGCCAGCCCTGCATTTCCTATTTTTACCTTTTGGCAGTTGAGGAGACGTTGAGGGGGCATCACGCTCCTTATTGCAGAAGTGGGATCGTAATTAAAAAGCTCAGCGCGTTCATTAGGCAAGGCTTCTTTCAACGGACGTCTCTTCATCTCATCTTGATCATTATATTACAAAGTAGGCATTTCTGTCTGCCTACTGGCATGTCTTGCAAAAGAATGAGAGTTTTTGAAGGAAAAAGAAGGGAGCCAATTATCGGCTTTGCTTCCCCGCCACCTGCCAGCGCCATTCCTTTTAATTAATGATCTGATGGCGCTGGTCAATATAATAAGAAATGCTTGTACAGTTGGGGTCAGAAAATTCTGGCTTTGATCTCCCTCAACTTTCTGAAACATTTATTTGTTTTCTCTAAATTATTTCAGTTTTATTTTTAATCTTTTCTATCCTGCTGAGGGCCACAAGAATGAAAACCTACACGGCGCGTCCCTTGCTTCGGCTGAGCAAAGACTGCTTACTTAGAATTCTATTTGTAAATTAAACTGCAAACCCGGTTTGTCATAAAAGACATCTGATCCTTTTGAAATGACGAAAACTGTCTTTTGTCTGTAAAGGCTGATAAATTAAGTGCCAGTTCTCTCCTGGTCTTTGATCTTGCACAGGGTGTGTGTGTGTGTGTGTGTGTGTGTGTGTGTGCATGCGTGCACACACACACGAAAGTGTCTGCAGCTCATAATAGGACATATTCTGTATTTTATGTGAAATAGCCTGCAAAAGTGCATTTTTTTGGCCTTCATGTTCCTGATAACGGGGCAAAAATGCAGACTAGCCTTGTTTCTGTATATATTTCAATGGTTGTTTACAAATATCTTCCTAACGTAGTTCTAAGTTAAAATAACCCCCCTTTAAAAAAATCATTCTTTTCAGGGATATTAAAATGTGAGAATTAAAAACCCTCCACATTTGAAACTCTATGTAATATTGCAAGTACTTTGAAATCATTATTAGGGAGTTTGAAAAATGAAATTTAAAAATCTCAATCTCAAAATACAGTCAAACTAAACTTGATTGTTTTTATGGCTACTGATAGGGAAATGTGATTTCAAAGTCGAAATCAAGTTATTTATGCCCATAAATAACCTGAAGTACTTGCTGACCTTGAAGCAAATTAAATTGAAGTATTTTATCTTACTATAGTAAAATTAACGCTACATACGAACAAATCCAAACCCAGGTCAGTGAAGAATTATATTATCTTTTTAGCTCATTATAACTAGATTGCCTCATTATAAAAATTTTGCAGAAGCTGCTAGAAATAATTAGAGTTATTCATTTGGAAATCCATCAAAGTATCCTTCATTGGAGAGAGAAATAATTATGAAAATAAAGACCCAACTTTTAAGAATGTTTTCCTTGTGTGGGTGTATTTGCTACTGTTAATGCTCTATGGAGAAAAGACTGTTTTCTTTTTAAAGAAGAGGAAGAAAACTGAGAAAGAAATCAGATTTTTTAGTGTCATACTAAAATTTTTATAGTCCGCTTTAATGATAGCTCATTCTTCCTTTGAGAAAAATTATTTTTAACAGTAATTGTTTTGGTCGGTAATTCTTTTTGAATTTAGAAGTAGTACTTTCTGGTAGAGTTAGTTTGCTACTAAGACATTTAGTTAAATATGTGCAGGAGCTAATCACAAATGTAAAAGCCTAAATATATAAAATGACACGAGGGACCATCATATAGTAACAGTTAACTGGACATAACTGGAATAGTAAAAAATATTCATAAGAAGGGGCATTGCAGGGAGGGGAGTGTAGCCAGAACCGCGTGTGTGTGTGTGTGTGTGTGTGTGTGTGTGTGTGAAGTCCAGAGCCATTTGGAGACGGCAGAAATGGAGACAACTCTCAGGTAGCACTAAAGCTATTTACGGCAAGTGTGAGATGCTTTACGTTACAGTCATTTTCTTAAAAATATTTCAGGTGATTGTTTAACCATCCCTTTTAAATTTCGCTTTGTTACCAGTTTTCCAAAAGCCATCTCTTACAGTTCTCTAGGAAATATGATAAAGTATCTGGTCATATTTTCTGTAATTGTAAATGTTTCCAATAAGGCATGTTAAAAATCACAAATGATCTCACTGGATCTTTGTGGGTGTGAGATTGGAGTGAACAAAATATCCTGGAAGGCTGACAAATGCTACCCTTGGTGTTGTTTGGTTATTTAGTAAATTAGCTGATACTTGCACGGGGGCCCTTGAATACCAGGCAGGCCGGCCCGGGCGCCGCCCTTCCCGGCAGGCGGGACGCCCCGCAAGCACGTGCTCCCCATTACTGCGTCAGCCTGACCAGCGGCCTCGCTGCGCCCAGGTCAGCGGTCACAGTTGTCCTGCATTACTCGTCTTTCTTCCTTCGGACCCTCTGCTGCGTTGCATGCTGTAATCTTCTTAATGGCTTCATTCCAATATTCACACATAATATTTTAGATTTATTGACTGTTAGAAATACGACCCTGCCAGTAGCAGTTCCGTTACTCAAGGAATTTAAAATTGGAAAAATAAATCAGGGCCAAGCGCTCAGGAACCCTTTGTTTTCCTTAAGGGAGGAGAAAAAACTCTCTTCCTGTCTTCTGACAAGAACACTTGTTTTTTGATTTCATCATTTCACTATAGATTTGGATCATTAAGAGAAAACGAAACACAAATTTTATTGGGAGTGATTTTAACGATATTGATTATTACGTGGAATAACTTTTAAAAGCAGTGGAGCCATTAAGATATACTATTGTAGTTTTTGTGCGTGGATACATTGTGATTTTTTTTTTATTGGACATACCAAATATAGAGATCTTCAAGCATATGTAGTTTGAGTGTTTTAAAAAAAGAAAGTAAATTTTAAGGCTATAAACAACATCAATTAAAGTTAGTGTTACTGTGTTACGTTTTTAAGTGAGGGCAAAAAAACCCCAGTTTGATTAAATGTAACATTTGAAATCTCAAATGAGGTCATTTTAATTTAAGAAAATGCACTATTGAGAGCCTTCCCCATTCTAAATATATACACTAATTTAATTTCAGTTATATACTAATTTACAATGTTTTATTTCTAAGCGATGGTTGCTTATTTTAATTTTTGTCATCATTGACATTTTTAAAGTGGACAGTTGTTATTTCAGAAATAAGTAGGACAACTCTACTTGTTGGGAAATTAAACTGATTAGAATTATAATGAGATTTAGGAAACCTGTCTTCATGTAACTATTAAGTTAAAACAAGTGTAAACCAACTCTTATGGATAAAAGAGGTTAGAATGGACATCTGAAAGCATTACATGGCTTTGAATATTCATGACTCAGGAAGTGGATCTTGACCTACATTGTTGAAAAGTCTTTAGGTAATTTTAACTCAGTAAGTTGTAAAAAATAAAATACTCTGAGAGAGGTCAGCAGGCTTATCCCGATTTTGAAGGGACAGAAGAAGTGGGCCGCCCTTGGTGTTTCTGGAGCGTCGGGTCTTGTGGGTGTTGACCGCCACGCCCAGGCTGCCATGTGAGGCCGGGGCCAGCTTGCAGGACGGTGACAGCTGCCACAAAGAGCGCCTCTTTCGGGGTTTAACACAGAAGCTCGCTCCGTTCCCCTCTGTTACGGAAACATCATGATGACCTATTTGATCTAAATTAGGATTTTCAGCACCGTTTTAATCACTCATTTTCATCTTGGGTATAATGGTGTTGGAAAATGGGTTTTTCTTTCCCATTACGAGGGCGCGTGGAAAACGCGGTGTCCCCGAGGGTCATCACCGTGCGGCTCACAGCGTGGCCGCGGGCCCCCGCAGGCCCCCGCGGCCCCCGCAGGCAGCACGGCCACACTCAGGGTGGAGCGCGCATAGCGGCCGGAGCCCTGGAGGGACCTGCTTATCAAAGGAGACCCCTTAAAGGGCCATTGATTTTGCAGCGAGGATTTCAAGCATCTCTTGAAAGAATAGGTTAATGTTTTTATTGCGATCTAAAAAAAGAAAGACGCAAATTGTTCCAAATTACCAGAAATCATTAAAAGCCTAAAGAACTGGAGGGGAAAATACCCCAAAACTCTGAGTTCAAATATAATTTTAGATATGCGTATTCAAGGGAGGTAATTAATTTGGGAGTAAGTTTGGGAAAGAACTGGCTTTCTTCAGAGAATTTTTTTAAACTAGCTTTTGAAAAAAGTGCTTGAACAAATTTAACTCTCACAGCTATACAGACAGTCAATAGATATGTTTAATTCATTGGCTTTTTCCTCTAATCTAACATGAAGGTTTAATATGTTAAATTGTCATAATGCATGTTATAAAGAAAAAAAAAAGGCCCCAGGGAATATTATATTAGTTCCAGGTTCGCCACAGCTCTGCCATAATTCTTACTGTGTTTAACAGTGAATGGGGCTCCCAGAAGTTTCTAGAGTGGCCAGGTGAGCAAGACAGTGGTGTTGTCCAGGTTCTAGAGTAATTTAGAGAACACTTTTTAGTTTACTCGTGTAGACCTCAGCAGACAAATACAGCTTTCAGTTCCGCCCTGGAGATGTGCAGCCATGCCCCGCCCCCCCTACCCCCAGCGGCTAGAATTTGAGCCCCCAGATGTGGTTGCCACTGGGCCACCAGCCACCCAGCAGTCTTTGTGACTTGCAGGCCATCAGTGAGCGCCTGGGCAAGCAAAACAGGATCGCATTTCTTTTACCTTTTGTAGTAGGAAGTGCTTTCCAAGTCCCCGCTTAGCTTCATCGGACCTTCACAGTCACACGAGGAGGAACCCGGGGGCACATCTGCGGTGCTTTGTGGGCTGCGAGAGCCAGATTTTATTCCCTTGCTCTGGGAAAGGGGGCCACACAGGGGGCCGCTGTGA